AATTATATTAAATGATATTTCAACTTTAAAATGAGTGTCAATTTTCTTTTTATTAATTTAGCTACTAAAAAAACCTTATAATATGTTTATGTTTTTTATATTCATTTTAATTCAAATAGTACAATAACAAATTTATTCATAACACAACATCACAATTTTGACTAAACACTTTTCTTTGCTTTGTTACACAACACAACATCACAGTTAACTACCTTTCCTATGTGAATGTTTTTCTTTTTAATTTTATTGAAGTAAATTGGATTCTTGAATTGTTTGTTTAGCTGTTTGTTCCAAAAGTCCAGAAACCACCTTGTGATTGTATACATTTAAGCAAACATCTCAAAATGTTGTTTTTATCCTTTTTAGGGATAAAGCCAAGTATGATCCCCTCAACTTGAAAAGTTTTGACAAATGTTCACAGATTGTTGCATTCTCAAACAATTGATATCTTATTTTACTTTGTCTTCTTATTTTCTATCGAGTAAAATCAAATGTTTGACACTAACACTAGCGTGATGCTTGGAATCTTCAAGTCTTGGATAAAGTGAAGGAATTTTATGAAATATATTGGAGTCCAAGATGCTATGAATGTCTAGCACGGATATAGTCTCCCAATTTTGAAAAACATGTGCTAATAGATGGATTTTATTAACCACTAATTATGTATTGTTTCCATATTGAGAAATTTTAAATTTATTTTATAGAGAAAAATAATTGTACATACATAACCATGCGCATATTACGTGATAGATTCTTGACTTTATTTCATTTTACAATCATCACCGTATATGACACCTGCCACAAAACCACAATCATAAATATTGACGCAGTTTTGTTTTCCTATCCTCCACCTTTTCTCTTATGCTCCTAGTATCTAACTCTGTACATTCTTCTTCTTGTTCTCACAAGCCTTTTATAGTTCCCATTACAAATACTCTCTTTTTACACCAAAATTCATCATCTATTATATATTGGGACTTGTCGATTTTTGTTTTCTTAATCTATTGATTTTTTCTGGGAATTCACCGAGTTTTCAACATAAAAGTATAATTATTGTACAGTGAATAGTGAAAAATTTCTTGCCGTGCCAGATAATTTTCTGATTTCTTATCAGAAGGTGATTTAACTTGCATCCAATTTCATCAACTCTTTCTAAAAAATTTCCCCTCCAGGTATAGCACGTTTTATGGCCAAATGCAACTCTAACGATCTTTGTGTCTCTATTTTAATTCTCCTTTTCATTGTTTAGAGATGAATAGGATGTAAACCTTCCAAAGAACTATTTTTTGACCATTATTTGTTAGTGGCATGGAAAATTTTGGAGATCCATCGATTTAGATTTTTTGAGAATGAACTGCTGAAATATTTTGAAGTGAAGAATAGTTATAAAAATAATAAAGATCCTTTAGAAATTAAGGTCTAGAAATCAAGAGCTCACACTCTTATTCTTAAATTCATTTTTTACCTGGATGAAAACAGACCTGAATCTTTATTAACTGTTTGCAAGGGAGTTAACTACCATCAAGTTGTTTTTGAAATCTTATTTTCCTATTTATTCCAAGAACTGGATGTTCATGCATAGTTGTAGGTCATTTGGAAGGGAAACCTGTTTTCTCTGCTGCAAACTTTGTTAAAAAACTTAACTGCACGCATCAGATTCCAACTAGCCAGGCTCCAGCTGCTTTTTCATATTTGGCATGCATCAGATTCCAACTCGAAAGACTTCTTCTAGCTGACCAATTAATGCTCCTACCACAGTGGTCATATGGGTTTTGTATGTCCAAAACCAGGCATATAATTGAGGTGCATACCCTGTCATATTTGAGGGTTCTGGTATCTTGTAATCGCTTTGAATTTTTCTGTCATTGACATTGGCACCATAAGTGTAGTTAGTATTGTACAGAATGCTTTTTTTTAGGAATAAAAAACAGCATATATTTTTTTCCACATTTCACAGTATGATTTAGTTTTGCTATTAATGTTTCACAAAAACTTCCTAGGTTTTATCTAGTCTAGTTGCAGTAACACTGCTTTTAATATTAGAAATGTGCATTAATGCATCGCCTGCGCCCCCTTCTTCCTGTTATCATGGGCTTGTTGACACGTTCCTTTTATTTTCTCCTCTGTATCTTTCTTTGACCAACAAAGGGTATTTTGTCTTTGAATGCGTTGTGGTAGTCTGTCTGGAACCTTTTTATTCTATAGAAATTGAGTTGTGTTGTGATCAGTTCTTTAAATTGTATATGCTTGTATATACTTGTTAAACATACTAACACAAGCAATATGCTTTTATCAGTTCTTTAAATTCTGTATACAACAAGCATAGGAAATGAAGGTGGACTATACATACAATTCCAGTCTATGATTTTTTAAATTAAAACTTAGTTGAAATTAAAATTAGCATGCAGTATATGTCCGTATATTTCTGAAGTATTTTTTTAAATATGCTTCCATAGTTTTGCTTTTCTGTCAGCATATTGCTATTTTTCGTGAAGTACATGCATGGTAATATTGTTGTTTGGAGTCCCACCAAATGATATCCTACATGCAATTGCATATGGTATTATGTTTGACTTCTAATTCTACTCACCCATTTTTTTAAGATTTAAGATCTTTTTAAAAAATGTGTTAAAAATGCAGCACAATGTCACTTCTCTTTATTACAATTATCTCATTTTTTACATAATAGCTGTCTTGATCATCAAGCAGTGTGAAAGTTTTTACCATTGGTAATGTCAAACCAAAGTATGTTTCTTGAATGGTTAGGCTTACATACCACAATGCAATAATAGAAGCATGATCTTGTAATTTATGGGCCATCAAAATGACACAACATCCATTCCCAGTGAGGATGCATCCCTCATCTCCGCTAATGCAGTTGTAGTCTGCTGCAGTTATGGGGGACAAAAGTTTGGCATCAAAGACTCTGGTAAAGTAAATGATAATCATATTTAAATACTTGTGATGTGGAGGAAATTGTACCCCAACTTTGTAGCTGGTGTATCATGGTTTTGTTGTTGTGGCTGGGGGGGGGGGGGGGGGGGGGGGGGGGGGGGGGTTGTTGTGGCTGGCTAAGCTGGAGATGGACAGGTACATGTGATTCCTCTACGATGGCTAGACCGTTTGTGAGAAGGGAATTTCTGTTTGCTCTGTTTACATCCCTTGTTCCATAGACCTGGGATGTGAAAATATGCTGATGAGGGTGGAATGAAATGCCTTGCAATTTGATTCAGGACTATGGTAGTGATTGTTTGAATCAATGAGTTGCAAGGATCTTATAAGTTTCTGCTTACTCAAACTTCTAATTTATACAATTCTTGATTTTCATGACGAAATAGTTTTACCTTCTGATAGAGTTCAACATTTTCTTGGTGAATGAGGTTGCCCTGCAACAGATGTATCAAAGTTTAGCTATTTGAATTATAAAACTTTACAAAGCAACTCGGTAGCCTTTGTTTACAGGTTTACCTTTCTATTTAGTTCTTGTATTTGATCCATTAAAATTTGGTCCTGATGAAGTCAATATCAGTTCAGTGAGATGGATGTGTTCCACTTTATGGAAATCTAAAGACTGCACAGTGTGGTTGTAGGAATTTCAAACCTTTTTCATGCGAACACCCTGAAGACTCATTTCCAATTGGTTCTCCAAATTCTGCAAATCTGTTATGCTTAAGCCAGAAAGTTGTTCACCCATCATTTGCCTGTTATCATCATATGGAAATGCAGTTAGGTTTTAAACTTTTGTCTGTGACAATGTAAACTTTGCTAATGACGCATATACTGAGAAGCAATGATCCATTTAATCTTTTTACTGTATTCTGTTCCTGAAAGATTTTTCCAACAGCATTAGCTATTCTGGATGCTTCTTTTTATGTTCTGGTAAGATTTACTATTAGCCTTTGTTTTGAGTTATATATATGTATTATATTTTGGAGTGACCCTTAGTTTGGGGTATCGATGGCTAGAGGTAGTTTATTCACATTGGAGAAATGACTCTAGAATGCTTTTCATTCTTTTCCTGATGAAAAAAAGAAGATATTGATAGGAAGAAATAGATGGGCAAAAGATAATTGGAGAAATGACTTGTTCAGCTGTAGAGGTGATACTAGAGGTATTTATAGGTATGTGTTCATGCAGATGCTTTAATCTTGTTCGATAACAAGAATTTCAAAAATGCTTGTAAATGTGACTTGGCTCGAAAGTCTTTGGGTTAACTCTGCGATAAATTTCTTGGGGTCATGAACCTGACTAGTACCACTTGAATACTTTTAGGAGAGGGTGTATGGTTGCTGCCTTCTTGTGGCCCCTTTTGCTCCTGATGCAGAATGCTGACATTTCTTAGAGGTGACGGAGATGAACTTTTTCAGTGTGACACAAGTGATATTTTTTGTGTTTGTGTCTAAATTGTTAGTGATCACATGGACACCAGTACCACCTGCAAGTGTCTGACTTAAATAATAGGTTGCTCCTCCTAAAATTTCAGTTTTTTATATTTGATCTGTCGCAATTATTCTATTTTCAGTCTTTATGTTCATTTATCTCATATAAAACACTATTGTTTGAAGGGAATGGATCATACCGATGATTTTCTTGCAAGGTTTGCAGTTGCTGTCTCAACACTGCTGCCTCCCTTTGCCAGAACTAGCAAAATATAATGCACAATTTAGTGGAATTACCAACTCGTGTTTAACATGCATTCACTAAAATGAAGAGTAATTGCCTTCTGCTGTTATGAGAACACATCTGAAGAAAAAGGATAAAAAAATCATCCTTTTCATTCTGGTAAGCCACTGTCTAATCTCCATATAGTGATTATGATTCAATACACCATATTTTTTCCTTTTCATTTCTGAATACCACCCCCTCTCTAATCGTCCATGTAGCTCTACCTTTATCTTGACAAAACTAGAAACAATTTTTAAAAGACTATGACGTGCTTCAAGATGACATGTATTTTCTTGCTACTGATAAAATGTCTTGTGAATTCTATCTGCACGCAGCTGGTCCCAATCCCATTGCAGATAAAAGAGGACAGTTGCGGTTAGCAGAGGTCCAGTGTAAGATATGATGCTACACCTTAAAGCTTGAATGAATCAATAAGGCTTAGTTGTGTTGAGTTCGTATGCTTTATCATATGCGTATTCATTTATTCAATTGAGCCGAAGACATGACATGTTAGTTGACATATATTTGTGTTTTTAATTTCAGTTTATCCTGCTAATTTAGAACAATAACACAGATGTGTTTTAATTTCATAGGTCTACACTTTGAAGCTTAATGAAGTATGTTTCTGTGGTAGAAACAACTTCATTATGCATACTCTCTTATTAACCTATGATATGTGTTATTGTGTTGTTTCAAATGCAAGTCATTTGTTGATTGTGTAGCACAATCTTGCCAGTCATTATCTGCTGCTTTTAAATTTGAGGATATCTATAGTAGATAGGATTTTCATGCAGCTAATAACCGGCAGAACCATTGCCGTTGTCTAACTTTTTATACTTATCGTGTGCTTTAAATATCAGAATCCAGTCAAGGAATGTTAATTGGTTTCTGTTTCTCATTCCTAAATCATTTTGGACTAAACACTTGATATGTTATTTCCTTCAGCAGTATTAGAATTAGGAATTATACTGGTTTTGTCATTTGCAACATTTTGCCATACCAATTTTATGCTTGCATGTTCAAGGGGCTCTTATGCCATTCTGAAATCATATTGAAGGCCAAGTCCTAGATGTGGCACAGCTTATCTTTTGTCTCTACAAATTGTATCTTCATTTCCCTTCTTTATTGCCACATTATGCCGGATGATTTATTTAGTTAGATTTCCATTCACAAGTCCATGTTTATTAGCACATCCTGCTGATAAATGATCAGAAACATTAAGATTTTCATACGTTATTAACAAGTTTTATAAAACAAAATATCTTAACTCTTCGGTGTCATAATGTTATGTTTGCAAGCATAGCTCGTCCAATAGGTGCAAACTTTCAGCTGAAATGCAGAATTTGATAGATGCAGTATCTTTTAGCTGTAACAATCGCCAAAAAAATCCATGCTGCTCGTGGTAACAGCATTGTTTAAAGCAGAAAAGGCAAAGTTTCACATGGTGATTCCTAGTAATGTATCTGGAGCTATCTTTGACAAAAATGCAATGCTTTAAAAACTAGAGATGTGTAAGCTGTTCCACTACAAGTTGTAAATTTAATTTAACATGTTCATTTTGATGTATAACTAAATTCTATGAGCAAATGTGGAAAAATAATACGATGAATCAAATTTTTCCCAAACTCGAAAAATAAAATGAAAATCGGTTTCTGAAATACCTTGACTTCAGAGGTTGGGTTGCCCATTTGATGATGCTCGTCTTTTGATTTGTTGTATCTTTCAATCACTGATTTCATGCTGCAAGAGCAGATTCATATTGCATCAGGGATGTGTGTCATTTTCTATGTGAATGCTTTCTGATAACATTTAAGAACAAAATGCATGGAATCACTAAAAGGATAGTTTCTCAATGAAAAACACATTTAAACTATATCATTTATATCTTTTCCAGAAGTCATTTGAGTTGTCCTGACTATAGGAGTTTAAGCTGCAAATGTAATATTATCATTTAAGAAACTCAAGTCCGCAAGACTTTAGATCTCTCAACTTGAAATATCACAAAGATTGAAAACTTATCTTCAGATTGAGTTTCTTAAATGATTGTACATTCTTGAGAATCATATTACATTCTCCGGCAGAATGAGAATGTTTCTGCGGAGCACCATCTCAAATATAAGTTTCCAATCTTTATTTTATTTGATGCAGGGTCTCGAAGATAAGTTTTCAATTCATTTTTAACCATGCATTCTTTACTGGGATGTGAAAAGGAAGCTCACTTCCTATGGCTTTGTCTTCCCTCATTATTTTTCCTTCATCCGACACTATTGAGAATCGTGTCGAACTGACACTATTGCGAATCATGCCTGAATGAGTTATAACAAACTACCTGCAATTATTCATCATATGGTTGTGCAGAAAGCAAAAAAGTGCAATTCTTGGTAAGTTTAGAACTTAAATTCTAATCTTTTGCTTGTTAATTAGGTGAAAGTCAGAAGTTTATGGTTCTCTACCATACTTGGAAAAGCTGCGACATCTTTAGGAGTTCGAATCAGGTGGGTTTTGGTGCAATAAAATTTATAGGGCCTTTGTGAGATGTAGGACTGGTGCGAGACAATTTTAAGGAGAGATGAAAGAAGGAAATATCTGTTGGCATACGGTATGTAACTGGCATCTGAAAATGTGCATCGACCATTTTTTGACACAAACAATAGATAGAATTCCAAGTTTTGAACTGTTCACTTCAACCGTTCACAAGGAGAAAGATCATCTTCCAAACTGCGTAGTAATGGGCAGCTTTCACTCCTTTGCGGGGATGCACAAAGGTTGTGAATTTTTGCTGCTTTCACAGTAAAACAGCAGGGTTTTTTGGGTAACACTCATTTTGCCTCCTGCTAAAAGCTATTCCTGAGCTTTTTCCAAGGTAGTAGGAGGCTTTGTTCCCAAACGCTGCCACAACTGCATCTGAAAAGTTTCTGGAGCTTCATTTAGAGTACCGATGCCTTCCCGACAATTTTGTTGCTTCATGATAACGAAATTATCTTAGCATCAGTTCTATATATTGCTTCCCCTTGAAATGTCATCATCAGCGTGATTGATGTCTTAAAACAATTTTCTGGTCACCCTTTAATACCCTTACCGGAAATCTTCATCAGGGTGATTGATGCCTTCATCAAGGTGATCGATTAACCACTATATATGAGGCTGAAATGATTTTCTATCAGGTCTTGATAGTTTTGGGTTGAGCAAAAGTGTCAGATGTGACTGAGAAATGGTAACAGAAGTGATCCGTGAATCTAATGAATTACACCACCCACCCACGAAACCAAGATAAAAGTAGTAATCTGTAATCTCATCTTGTTTGTTAGATCATATTGATGCATAGGTGCGACCATAGCATGTCATCTTATATCTATAATATTCCCTTAATTAAATCCAAGGCCGAACCAGTAGCGGATGGAGACAGGTGGGAAACATGGGGCTGGATAAATAAACAGAATTAAATTAGACTATACTAGTAGACAAATAACCTCCAAAGTAAAGGTGAAGTCACCAAAGCTGTAGTGAATAGTCTAGTGGTTGATGCTGGGTTGTAATTATTTATTTCAGAGTTAGCAGCTGTCCACAGGATTTGCAGTCTGTCTAAGCATGCTGTTAGCCTCTGCTATCTTAAACTTATCAAAAACACGTTGGCTTCCCATATTCATTTGAAGATGTTACACTAGCCCTACCTCTTGGTTTGTTAGAATAGGTATGCTTGTAAGACATTCGAGTTTTTTATTTATAATTTGGTGAAAGGAACTTAATCCCAGCTTGATGCTTTTTTTTCCTTGTTAGAACCTTATCTGTATTACATTTTAATAGGAAAATTGATTTCGCACACATTATTTACTACGTAGAAAACTGCCAGTTATTATTTCAAGTAGATGGCTGGTCTTAACACGTTTGTTTATCTAATGCGTCATGCATGAATATTTCAGTTGTAACAGTTTTGTCGTGCATTATGTATGGACTTGCAGTTGAGCATCTGTAACCAAAGGACCTTTGAATGAATTTTAACATCAGGACAGGGTTACAAATGAACATTCACAAAACCTCGAATTTCAAGTTGTTTGCCATGCATGTCCTATAACATGCTATCATCTTCCAGCTTTCTTAGTGACAGGAGAATGGATAGAAGACAATTAAGCCAATCTCTTCAAATGTCTATATAAATCATGAGAAATTGTCTGATCTCATGCAAAAAGGTGCGTGTATTCTTTGTTTCTATTTTTGCTTTCTTTTTCTGTCAAATGTTCTTGGCAGGCAGTGACTGCATCTGATCATATTTTTTGGATGAATGTTCGTTGCGTTAAAATTAGGGCCCAAAATCTAAGTACATATGAAAGCTGTGTATGCTATGCGTTGATAAACGTGTTAATTGTTTTATAATTGCCTTTTTTTGGGTCCTATCCTACCAGATGAGTTACAGTAGTAACTATATTTTTTTCCCAAGCTCTAGATTTGCAGTTCAGTCCTCGCCCTTACCCAAAATTAATCACGTCCACTTTGATCGAGTGGTTTTGGGAAAACCAATTAACTCTCACATTCTGTTCCAAACAAGTAAATATAAGCCTAAAAATCTTTTCATTCTGGTAGTTTGGATTTCATTAACAGTGTTATAGATTTAAGTTTTACTTGGGATCTACAGCTTGAATACTACAATAGCAATTGTTCATAGCTCCTCGCTCAAAGTTTAAAACATGCAAGCACTCCAATGATCGCACGAAATTCCATACCATAGCAGCTAGCAAACTCTGAATCTACACCGAATTTAATCACCGACTAAAGCCCGTTCAATTACTTGCAAAGTTATCTAACACGTTCCAGAAACTGTGTTTCCTGCTTTAAGAACACGTATGCACGCCTTTCACCAGCAACTTGTCCCTCTCTCCATCGCTCAACTAAAGGCATCCATCACATCATGAATATCGATGGAGATGAAGAATTCCCTTAACAGACTGCTCCTAGTCCTTGTAACCATCCCTCCAGCTTCTCATTCACAATCACTCTAACACTACTAAGGGCGAACGTTCATTCATCTCCTTGCTTCAAACAATGCTAAAAACTCTCAATTTAGATAAAAAAGACTGATTAATTCAATCATTAGCCTTCTCAAAGCCTCCCCGTTCCTTGGGAATAGGCTAATGAAGGCATGGGATCCTTTCCTACTAGTTCCTTTGGAATAGGCTGAGAGAAGGCGATTGCACAAAAATCTCCCAGTTCTGCCTTCTCATGAGAATAGCCTCTTTTTCGTCAAACACAAGCCGAATAAAAAATATTTGATTGTTAAACAAGAAAAATCCCGACCTTAATGTCCCGCAAGCTTGGTTTGAATGGTCAGAAAAGTACCTCTAGTATGCTTATTAAAGTGGGTGCTAGATATTCTTATAGGTAGTGATGCAAACAAAAACAACAATAAACAAATAACATGTAACTAAACTAAAAACTTTAATTAAAATTTTTATTTTTTAATAATTCACCATACTAAATAGTCTATTGAAATACAAACTAAGTAGACATATTAATACTACTAGTATTAAGCCTAAATTGAATAAGAAAATCAAATTCCTAAACCAAATATTTTTTAAACTAAATGGAAAAAAAATACCAAAAACACTACAAAAGAAAATATAGGAATAAAAATAACTAAAGGAACAAATATTTTTTTTTCAAAAAATATTCTTGCATCATTTTTCTTGAGTTGGAAAAAATTCATTCTCTACTTAAAATTATTCTTACTTCAATCTTATAAATGTCTAATAAAAATTCTTCAACCTCATTTTTTTCTTCGCATTAAATGTATAACCATTTTAGATATCAACTTTAATCTTTTCTTGCTAAAATTTGTATAAAAAAAAAATAATGAACAAATTATTTCTCTTTCATTAGCTTCTAAATT